GTGTGTAGGAGGATCAATATATTTTTGTATATAGTAATTATAATATTTACATGGCGTGACGTATGATAATCTAGGTGGTAGAAAATATGAATTTGGTACCATAAGTGTAATTACTGAGATTGTGCTTGAGTTGTTATTGTTAACAATATGACATCGATTGCAAAATTTCATTTCCGGTTGGTAGTAAATGGTGTTTTTTAATACCGGTATGTCAATCTTCATAATTATTTAAGAAACAAGAAATTTCTGTTAGCCCATGCTGGTATTGAAAATAATCATAGTTTTGTACAATAACAGTCTGTATTAATTATATCGATTTGTTTCTGATCGTAAAGTACTGAATAACAAACATATTGACATTCGGATATTAATAATTTTTACAATCATGTCAAATTTTGTCTATATTTAGCATATTTTCTATACATCACATTTGTAGTTAATTTTCGCAAGAAAAATGTATAATGAGGTGGTTGAGTGTGTGGCTTAGTGTGAGTAAAATCATATTTTTGATTATTAACATAGTTTTAAAGTATATTTGTTTTTATTCTATCGGCTGATGGAAATGAACGGTCCGCAAATTTTGTATCATAAAGCGTAACGAAGCGACCAAAGAAAGAATTGCTTGCTTGTTTTTGACACATATTTTTTCACTCACAGATTCCTCTTCTTTATCTTTCAAACGGAGTATCTCTATTATATCATGATTTATTAACAAAAAAGTACCTCTTCGAAGATCCTGCCTTGTCGTCCAATAATACGAGGGCGTATCATATTTGATCTTTTTATTTGCCATGCATCAGGACATTGCTGTCCAACTACGCATTCCCACGATTGTAGGGAATTATATGTTTTAATCGGATATGAACCCTCAATGGCCTAGTTGGTTAAGGCGTCTGCATAGACAGCAGAATGTCCCGGGTTCGACAAAATGAATACATAATAATGACATTAAAATCATAATTGAAGCTTGACCTATGACCTTGGTTAATACCAGCAAATTTAAGGTGATTACTTAATGAAGCACATAAAACTAGCATGTGACCTTAACCTCATTTATTAATTAATTAGAACAATTTTATTTTAGAATAGACCTAAGTTTGTAAACAAAATCCTATAAAGTTAATAATTCAATTCTGTTTATCTATTCTGGATAGATTTCGATAGAATTATATAAGGACCAACTATATGATTATGATATTTAATTGCTGATAATGGTGATAGGGATGATCTCTCGATGTGCTCTCCTAATGCCGGGCACTCACTACGTCTTACGACAGCCGTACGACCGTCGGCCGAAGAATCAAACTCCGTTCCCTCTGTGAGCGTTAGACGACCGTCTGCTGATTGTCGGTGACAGTATGAACGGCTTGTCATTAAAAACGATCCACTGTGCGCGGTCGGGCGCATTGAGTGCCCGGCTTAAGCAGACCTGACAAGGCAACTTTTTTTTTCACACTCACAGATTCCTCTTCTTTAACGTTC